TAATCTTCTCTGGGATCACCTAATAATTTACATGTACTTTAATTCAATTTAAAGTCTGGTAAAAAAAAATTAAAAAAAGAATTTTCACTTGATTTCCTTTCGCTACCAGACGACAAACTATATCCTCCACTGCTTCATGTCTACCAGTACTGTCTAAATTATGAAGATGATCTCAGATCAGGTTTCTCTATTTCACCTACATGTAGTACTAGTAGATGTAGATCTATGTAAACCAATATCCCTCATTAATCATGTGGGAGTGATGTATGTACAGGAAACAAAACTAAACTGACATTGCAAGGAAGGATATTAAAAGATGGATGTATTGTTCTGCTTTCTATACTAGTAACGTATCAAGTGTCGATGTTTGCACCGATACTATGTCAAGATGCTCTATTGTCTTTAAAGTTCAAGCTTAACTTAATGAAAGGCCAGCACAAGAGGAAGCACATTCATTTAAATGTAAAATGTCAACGCTATTTTTGCACTTGAGATCTTACGGATTTGAAGGTAATCTCACAATAACATGACCTCAATGACTTCTGTAGAATCATCTTCAGGCAATCTCAACAGTCTTGTCCACCACATTTTGAAATGTGAAGCAATATTTGGTGTATTGTAAGTCCATCCATGATAATTATGGGATATTATAGGGTGATGTACATGTATGTGACCATCTGTGATTGGTAGCCTCAAATTTACTGTAACTGCAGATAATCTACACATTAACATGTACTTTTAGGCACAAGATAATAATACATTAAATTTATTTTTGCCGATCATTTCTTCCTCGAGGAGGAGGGGGGGGGGGGGAGGGGAGTTGGCCCATATTCAAAGTTTGGGTCTACATGACACATGCCCCAATTCCCAACTAAAGTTGAAAACCACAAAATTTATCACATGTATCCTAAATTCTGGCTGTCTGCTGTGGTTTTCAAGTTGTTTGGTATCAAATGTAGGCTTACACTGTACATGTTACCATGTAGCCTATTCCATTCACACTATGACTCCAGTCTAGCCAATGTCTGCATTAGTTTTCCAGTTACATGTACCAGGAAGGCGGTGAATGATCAACCACCATAACAGCAGGAACCGTATAGAAATCTAAACCTAAATTACAAACATACATGAAGACCTGTAACAGAGTGCCTGAGACAATTGCTAGAAGAACAATGCCTGCCTGGGCAGTGGGAGACCATAAGAATCCCATTTTTAATATATCAAATCAATCCATAGTCGTCGTGAATAAGCCACTTCAGAGATACTACATGTATGTGCGCATGGGCAGATAAAGGTCCTTCGTACAAAATCATAAAACCAATCGAGAGTCGAGACACGTGTTCATGAAAGTTATTTAATCATTATGCACTGACGGTTTTATTACATGTATATGATACAAAGGTGGAAGACTTCATGTCAAGGGAGCAAACAAAAGATTTCAGTCAAGCACTTCTATCACTTTGGCAGTGATTAATACACAAAGTAGGACTTCTCCATGTTTAAAAGGTATGTGGGTGTGGGCAGCCATGTGGGTGTCATGTGTACAAGTGCTATCTTTGAAGTGGCACATTGAAGGCGGAAATAAAATTATTCATGTTTGCTAATGATAATCGGATAGTCCATTTGAAATTTTTCAAAGACAAAGTACACCAACATGAGAAAAAGACAAGTAAACAACATAAAATGTGCAATCCTATGAAAGAAACAATGAGCATAGTTCTACTATGATCTCTCTTTTGTTTAATTCCTTTTACAAGACCCATAAAAGGGGCAGGCCTATTGAATCAACATATGACTGGCAAAGAAAAACCTCAGACTGAAACATGAAAATGAAAGAACGACACCAACCCCTTTTCAAAGAACACCTACATAAAAAAGACAAGTATGACACGTACAATCCCACGAAAGAAACAATGAGCATCCATGTGTAGGTCTACCATGGTCTCTATAAATAAAATGATGCCCCCCCCCCTTTTTTTTTTGTTGCTTTTACAAGACCCGTAAAAAGGGCAGGCCCATTGAATACACATATGACTGACATAGAAAAACCTCCGACTGAAACATGGAAATGAAAGAACGACACCAGCCCCTTATCAAATTGCAGAATAAATGTTTTGCAAACTCCGCTCTGCAAACATTGCCCTCTGGTTGGTTCTATGAGTTAAAAGGCAGTAGGTTGTCAGGTGAGCTTTGAATGATTATGAAATGTTGAATCAGTGGTGCATGTTGCACATACAAGTACAGCTTTGTTTGCTATGGTGAAGTCGAAAAGTGTATTTACTTATCACCACCATGCAAGTCTGCAATGGATGAATCATACAGCCAGCCAGCCAGCCAGCCAGCCAGCCATCATACTTCATAGGGTCTAGTGTAGACCTGTACATGTATGAAAGCATAGTAGGCCTACTCAGGATTCCTTTTGTGGATATCTTTGAGGGAACATAGATGGATTCAACATGCACATACCATATCGCCATTCTGTACATGTACATGTATGTAGTATACATTATGAACTGTATGTAGGTAGGATAATGATTTTGATTTGCAAGAGCTACATTTACATCATGTACAGTACATCCTAGTCAAACTACAACTTTGTTTTAACAGCTAATTGTATGTACATGTAGATACTTGTATAGGCATACATGTATGTGCATGGCTAAATTTAGGAGCCAAAATCCTTTATATCATTTTTGTTTTCAATAATTCACACATTCTGCAAATATTAACAAGATTCATTAATTTACATACTCTTGTATGTAAAATTCATTATTTTCATTTCCTGACATACAGTAGATGGATTCAACATGCTTACATGTACATACTGAATGTATTCTGTACAATATGACTAATTACCAACAACCTTCTTATGAAACTTTATGTCCATATAGAGTTACATGTGACTAATCAAGTGATTGTTACTCTACAGTGGTACGCGCACGATGCCTTCTCTTTAGACGTGGAGCCTTGCAGTATACTTACAAAACAAACATATCACATGCTGATATCAGGACACAAGGAAATGAACAACATCCCCAATAATTTCCTTGGACATGTTTAGATGACCAATACAATAACACCCAAGGTCAGCATTTAATGCAATGAAACCTGGATCACTGATAGTACAGTGCAGGGTCCATTAATCAAAACATATTAAGAGTCACCTTTCAGTCGTTATCATTGGATTATCATTGCATTGTCTTTTGATCTAGAATGCTATAAATTGAATATAATGTAAATGTGAATTAGAGAATACTTAACGAGTGCAAAATGCCTAGCAGAGTTCTCTACAGTACATCGTACAAGGCTAGACTAGACCTAGTATCATACATGTACATGTAGGAGCAATATCTATTTATTTCTATTTTTTCTTCACTGAGGTACATTGTACATGAGCCAGTGATCTCACATAAGTATTCAAACCCGTGCCCACATACCCCCCCCCCCCCCACCCCTGTAATTGAGGGATAGCAACGATTGGTCTAGGGAGGATCTACATGTAACTCAAGGGAGCTCTGCTGCCCTCAAAGGTTCATTCGGTAGCAGTAGAGCTCTCTAGAGTTTAGAGTAGATCGTACTACAGGAAGGGGAAGATTACTATGATTACTTGTGAAATTTTTATTAACTTGGAGCAAAATTGACATTCTGTGAAAACCATAATCAAGATTAGCATATATATACAAATAGAGGTTGTGCAAATAATATGCACTTTCTCACAGGATTCATGGCAAACTTCTGGACAGTATGACTGCATACCGTAACGATGGTGGGGTGCGAGCGCGTGCACATGTGTGAATTTACCGAATGTAATCTCAGACCTTCATTAAATTAATGTACATGTAAGCAATTCATCGTTTTCTAATGGCCTAATGTACACGTCCGTTCACTGTCTATTTTCATGAAATCTGGAGGTTTTTTTTTAGTATGGTGTTGGTAAAAGTACCAGCCACTCCTTTTTTCAGTAGAGGCGCTGGTCCGAGAATAAGGATCGTCTGCTTAAACGAGTATCGTCTTCGTAAACGCGGACAGATATCTCCGCATATATAAGGATTGTCCGCATTTTTCGCTGACGATTCCGATTTCCGATCCACGCAATGATTTTCTTGAATCATTTTACAATGACTTTGTACAGAGACTTTCATGTTACGAGCGATTAATCCTCGGGAAGACGGACAACCCATAAAAGTAGACGGTGAACAGTAGGGGCGCTGGTCCGACAATGAGGATCGTCAAAACGTGGACAAAATGTGTCCTCAAAAATAAGGACCGTCTGCATTTTCGCGGACGTTTTTTTTCATCGGCACTCTGCGCGTTTCAGGTTACCAAATCGACCGCTGGCGATGCAAAATATGGATTCCCTCATGGGAAAATAACCCTAGTTCACCGTCTACTCTTATGGCTTGTCCATCTTCCCAAGGATTTATTGCTCATAATGTGAAAGTCTCTGTACAAAGTCAATGTAAAATGCATCAAGAAAATCATCGCTGAATCTGTTTTTCGCATCGTTAACGCGCCGATCAAAAATATGAAGGGTCTGCAAAAATGAGGACGATCATTATTTTTTAGGACGCATCAGTCCACGTTTACAAGGATATCCTCGTTTATGCAGATGATCCTTATCTCGGACCAGCGCCCCACGTTTTGAGGCACTTCACAATCATTTTGAAGCGCAAATTTTGGGGGGCTTCAATATTACACCATATCACAGACACTGATAACACGTAGGGCCATGCATCTCAGATTTGTAAAACTTAAGTGGAAACATTGTTCAACAATTCACAATAACAATCACAAGCAGGATATTAAAAGTCTCACAATCACAAGCACACACAATTCACAAGCCGGTCGAGTTTCACCTGAACAAAAAAACAGCCGACGTTTCACCCGTCAATATCTTTTCATGTTACCAAATCATTCGTATGTTCCAACCATGATTCAAGTCAATTTCACACGCATTTACATTCATAACATAGAAAATATGAACAGAAAATCGTACTTACAGAGTGCATTCCAATGACTGGATAGCATTTAAGCTTCGAATAAACAACTTCCCAGGACAGCACAGCTCGCAGCATTATACGGACCATGGCCGTTTTACGTTCGGTATGCTAAATCCATGTCATGACGTCGTACTGCGCTGCTGATTTCGCGATTATCGTCAGAAATATGAGTGGAATGTCGCCACCTCTCGTCAATAGTCCGCACATGTTTTATGGGTAATTTCTTTTTCTTTTCTACAGTAATATTAGCTTTGCCATATGAGGTATTTTCCAGCTCCAAAGAATATGGAGAATTTTGTCAAGAAAGAAAACAAAAATCAGCGCAAGATAATATGAGCAGGAGCACAGGAATAACTCTAAACCATAGCTCTACAGTGTAGTTCTTACACCCCCATCCATGTTTTCTCTAATCAACAAATATTATTAAAAGCGCATCCCTACAACAATAATTTCCTCACGTAGCTCTAAATGGAAATTGTCCATCCAATTTCATTGTGCTTGAAATGCCTGTTTTGCGCCTACTACCCTACTACCATTCTGTTTATACATCTACCTTGTTTGGCGTTCAACAATAAGGGATAGAGCAACGTCGAGGTCGATCTGGCGCTGTTCAGTGGCTGCCGGGCTCACGATCAATTGGGCAAAACGAATTTCCATTTTCGGTTTAACTTAATACAATTTGGAGTGGACTTTAAAAGATTATTAGTATTATTATCATTATTATTATATATCATCAGTTTGGTCGCCCATATAGTTTTCTTTCCTGAGGCCGCCATCACGTTCAACTCTCCTGCATTTTTCAATTTTGAAATGATTTGTCAACTCTTTATTTTATTTTCAAACGTATAATTATTCAATTGTTTTATATTATGATATAATAATAATAATAATAATTACATTTATAGAGCGCTTTATACAGGTTGTTCTAAGCGCACAGGTGGTGCTGTCTAACTTAGTATAATTATTCAACATTTCTAATAGCTTAAAACCAACAAAATGAAATAAAATATTACTAATACAATACAATTCAGTTGAATGGAATTGTGTGAGCCTCCAGTATACTATAACTGATTAAAAAGGTGGGTTTTGAGAAGGGTGATATGATATAATATAGGTAGTTCAACTTGGTTAATAATTTATATGTACTTAGTTTGTATAAATATTTCTTTCTATTATATCTAAAATTGCAGCAAAAATATCAAACAAACAAAAAATACTGCGTTCTTAAGAATATCTTTAAATGCTGATCTCTCTCTCTCACTTTCTCTTTCATTTTCACTCCGTTCCCTTTTCTCTCCCCCCCCCCCCCCCTCTTTCTCTCTCTCTCTCTCTCTCTCTCTCTCTCTCTTCTCTTTTTTATATTTTGCATCACTCTTTTATCACTGCATGGTGCTATCCGGTGCTATCTCACTCTACTATCACCGCGAAACTTCTTACAATCCCATTTGATCATTTTAGTAAGGTAAAAAAGGGGTTAAAAATCAATCTATTTTTGAGAGATAACAACAGCAATGACAAGCAATGAAAAAGGGGAACGAAAAAATAGGATTATAGCCGAGTATCAAACCCCGGTATACCTTCCAACTACGTGGTGATCGCCTTTGCACGCACAAGACTACTGTGTCTTACTGACTGCTAATCTCTATTTATTTTCTTCTCTATGATGTTGGATGGAGTCAGAAAGACAAAATTTGGTAATGGTAAAAATATATCAAGTGATGTTATTCTTCTTAATTTGACTTGATTACAAAATATGATGAAATATTTTTTCTCTCTTTTTTGTGTGTGGATACCTTTAAATAAATAATTGGCCAAGTCAATATTATGGACTTAAAATAAATAAATAATCTTTGCATTGTGAAGCGATCAGTTTTGATCCACAAGATTACTCTGCTTTACTGCTATAATAGGGTTCGCTTCTATTTGTTAACACTCTCTGATGTCAATGACTTTACAAAAAATACTGGTTAAATACTGGTTTACTGAGTTTACGCTTTCGGAAGACATGATGATGATTATTTGTATAATCCGATGTTGTCAAGATTGCCCGTTAAAAGCGTTCTTTTCACTAGCAACTGATAGTGATTATCATTTATTTTTTAAACTGCCGAATCGAAGTGTATGTCAATAGGCCACTTCGTAGCTACCTGGCATAGTACGAATAACGGAAAACGTATCTTTTTAATTCAGTATGCGTCGAATTCCCTAACATGGCACCAATGAATAAGCCAGTTCATAGATACAATCTGCGCATGGGCAGATAAAGGTCATTTATACCAAAATGGTAAAACCCACAGAGATTAATACTGGATATGCGCTCATGAAAGTTATGTAACATTATTCATTTATGCACCAACGGTACATTCTATGATACGCAGGTGGAAGTATTCTTTTCAAGAGTTCAAACAAAAGGTATTCATGAAGCACATCTCGGACTTAAAGGAAACCGAACCCCAAGTAATAACTTTACTTATTCTGAGAGATTTATTATGTTATTACATCTACAAGATTCCCCACCTAAGAGTATGAGTGAGGTATAAAGCAAAAATAAAGTACAGTTTCTCAGCACGACATGGGCATCGCCATTTTCTTGATAATGTGACGTACTATGCGAAGTCGTTTATCAAGTAAATGTATTCAAATTTATGAATGCTTCTTTCCGAGACGTGTGTGGTGATGAAGCATATCATTCACCTTCTATTATCCTTTGTACTATAATTGCCAGAACGCAAATTGCATAAATTAGTTAGTGCTCTTCTGGGTTGAAGGTTTCTCATAAATGAAATAGATTTTTTCAACTGCTATAGTGTAGTATTTATACATTAATTTGTTACAATCGTGCCCCTGTTATGTATTGTTATATATATAATTTCTATCATCTCAGTTGTTATTTTTTTTTATTGAAAAGTAAAGGTTTCGTTATTGATTTAAAAATTCTTTCCAACTAAAGCTTGGTGCATGATACATGTACAACTTCAACAGATACGTCACATTTTTAAGAAAATGGCTGCGCCCATGTCATGCTGACAGGCATCACATCATGCCAGGAATATCTTCATTTATATATATATCTTGTACATTTTTGTAAGGAATATTGTACATGACAGGGCAGGAATACATCTCATTTTTCAGAATACCTACACATATTCTTTTTAGTTTAGGTTTCCTTTAAAACATCCTCTGTGTGCCCATGCCTTGAGCCACAATGCATGGCCGTCCAGAGGATTTTTTTATGTTGGGGACCGGGGTAAAATGCAATAAATTATTGAAAATTTATTGCATTTTCTGTTTTTTTTTTTAATTTATGGAAACTGCCCCCTACCTTAGCCCCCGCTGCGCACAGCCATGGTTCAGTGACAAAGCAATGGCCTCGTAACTGTGAGCCCCCAGGATCAAAACCGTGTCGATGTGCTAAATTAGTGCCCTTTTGTGGGGTATTAATCCTTATAACTGTCATTTATGGCTGAAGGGCGTAGGTCCCCTAGTTGATAAGCATAGTAGCATACACATGCCTCAGCAGTCACGCAAAACACACATTAGCACATTATTATTCAATAAAATTTGAGAATGTTTCCTATTATCTAGATCTATTATTTTTAGATTATTTTAAAAATAATTCCAGAAATTGGAGTAAAACTAAAATATTCCAACTAAATGATCGACAGTGTATGAAGCAGCAAGGAGAGACTTGTAATTCCGGAGCCATATCAAGAGTATTTATTGTCTCCAAAGTTTGGAGAATCAAATCGGTCACATCATTATGAACTTCCACATATGTAAAACACAATGAAGAGAGAGACAGCAAGAAAGAGGGTCTTGATCAATTGGTGATCAAAACTGAACTCTTCTCTTTTTTTCTTCAGAAAGCTAGAGCATGTAATATTTATACAGAAGGATACAAGTAATATGAGGATAGGTTGCGTTGTATCAAAGGGACAAAGACATGAATGAGGGCCGCCAAAACAATGGACAACTTGGTAGTTTTATGTATGGGGCTTAAACATTATAGAGGTGGTCTTTCCTGTGGAGTTGATTATGAATGCACTTGGTCTTTCTACGGGGAAGGATTATAAAGATATAAACTTGGCTTTTAAGTGCATCTCAAACTAGGCATCTTGACAGGGTATAAATATGAGGGTACTTCATAATTAACTGGGTTTTGGGACAATACTTCACGACCTCCCCTTTCTTTGGAAAATGAGGCACTCATTCCTTATTAAAGAATAATAAACTGATGTATAAAGAATGAAATAGCTGAAAATTATTTTTCATTTTTTCCACTAAGAATTTAAACTTCTAGAACCTCTAACTCTAACGATTACCAAATTAACGGTTATTGTTATTAGCTGCACTCTCCCTTTCATAAGCATTGAGTTTTTCGTCCGCCCCGTAAATCACATGGAGAGACATATTCGGGGAATATCGGGTAGCTTCGGGTTTCCGACCAAGACTCTCGGCCAAGCTTCGAGTGTAGTGCGGCGAATTACCGCAACACAAACCCACATAGGGAATGCCTAGTTCGGCGCAGCGCTTTCCGAATTTGACGATATCATTCCGAGTGCACAGATGACAATCAAGGTCAACAGGGAAGCAAAGTTTTCCTGCAAGATGAAAAGAAGAACAGGCATAAATCATTTCATTTTCATTCTTTTAATAGGGTAGTTCATTCAGTATCAAATCTGTTCATCCACGAAACCATGTGATGTACAACAAAATACAGACAAGGAACATATTACAAATTGACAACAACAATAACAACATTACTACCAAATGAATCAGAGCAACTGAACCTATACACAATTAAATTTGAACGAGAAAATTAGAATGTTGCACAAGAAAAGAGGAACTAAGGGAGAGGGGTAAGGACGAGGAAAGAGGAAAGATAGAGGGATTGATTCAGGATTGTCAAAAAGGGATAGGGAGCACATTTCTCTAGTCAGTAATTTTACAAGGCATACTATTTCTAAAATCTCGAACGGACACAAGTCAGAAAATCTCTGACAAACCCCCAAAAAGCTTTGGATTTGTCACAAGCGTCATCTGCTAATATCTATCTGGGAAGCTAAAGATTTTTCAAACTTTAAAAAGGTGGAATCAGCCGAATATTCCTACAGGCCCTTCAGAGGCTCGCATTTTCCTTCTTCCAATGAATAATACTAGCATATGTGTCTCATGCCTATAGGGGGCCGCCGTCACCTCCCCTTCCCCGATCCACATATAAATAAAGTAAAAGCCTGGCAACATAAGAGACGTCGCTATTTCCCAGCCTCGGGTGACGCCATGCCAAAGACGCAGCCCACCTCCGCCGAAATCCTCCAACGGGTATTTTCAATTTATTATGATGATGTTTATTTCATCCTTCGAGGCGTTCATGTGATTTCTCAAATTCTTTTTTGACCAACTTACAGTATACACTGCCCATAGAATATTTATGAATTTATAAACTATTCTATATGAACCGATGCTCTCGAAATTGAAGACGCAGCCCGCCTCCGCCGAAAGAAATGCTTGACATTTTCCAACGGTTATTGTATATCTCATGCGGTTGTAAACATAGTGACGGGTCCCTTCAGGGGGCGGTGGTGCGTTTTTGAAAGTGCAAGGGCTGAACCGATCCGGGACGGGCCCAGAAGCATGGTTATATGTGTAGGGGGGGGGGGGGGGTGCTCCAGGGGCTATGATGGGCTACCGTTACATGGAAGATCAGCTATTTTCTTCCCGGGGGTAGGGGCAAACCCGGGGACTGCATAATTAAAGGGAAAATAACGACCTCAGATGTAATGATAGCAACTAAACGGAGGAAAAATCAAACTTTGCATTCTACCGACGCACTACGACAATTTACAATTCTTTTCGCGAGGGAGCACATCGACTGAGCAAGACATTTGATCAGACATGCTCCGCGCCCCATGCCCTTCATCCTTCAATGTATTCACTGCTCACTTAAGCAGATCAGAATAATACACACTGCATTGCACATGTGGTGTCCTTTCTAATGTGTTATGAGGCGCGCTAAAGGTAATGGACTCGAAATCATAATTCGAATCACTGTTTACATTGCTTTTTCTTGCGATCAGTTTTTTTGTGATGTCATTCTCACATCGCCTCAACGACGGAACTATTAGCTGACATATACCACGCTTCAAGCGCCGACCCTGAAAGATTTCAAAATCACCTTTCAACCAATAATATGATAGTTATAATCCTGTGAACAGTTGAGATGAGATGAAACTGTGAGGCAGGGGCGTACGCAGGATTTTTTCAAGGGGGGGGGGGGGTTTAAAATCTGGCCCAAAATATTTTGCTCCCGAAAATTTGAAAATCGCACCGGCCGAAAAGTCGCTCAGTGGGGGGGGGGGGGGGGGGTAAGCGGACACTTTTTTTTTTTTTTTGGTAGTCCAAAAAAAATCGCAACGACTCAGCCAACCGAAAAGTCGCTCAGTGGGACACTTATTTTTTTTTTTCTGGTCTCGAAATTGGAAAATCTGACATTTTTTTTTCGTTGGGGGGGGGGGGGGTAAGGTCACTTTACGTTAGCCGTGGGCATAATTTTTTTTTTTTTTAATTTAAAAAAAAAAAAAAAAAAAAATTACAAAGGGGGGGGGGTTTTAGTTTTTTTAGGGGGGGTTTACACACATAAAAATACCAAAGGGGGGGTTTGAACCCCCACCCCCCCCCCCCCTGCGTACGCCCCTGCTGTGAGGGCTTGGGTTAAAAAATCAGTGCGGAATTGTCCTTGGAAAAATGAAACGCTAGTCCTTATTTGTATCGAGTCCTATACGAATGTTATTCAAAAACATGTTTTTAATATATATAACCGCTACTTGTACTTTGGCAGATGATATATCAATGTATATATATATATATATATATATATACTTCAACACATACGATACAAGTTGAGAAAGAACTGTACCGGTCTTGGTGTCTGTAAGAGTCATGAAGGTGGGTTGTTCCTGTGTTGTCCTATATGGTACAGGTAACACTGCCAGTGGAACCTGTATCGAGGGACAAAAGGTTATCATTGACGTAGCTGCGTGGCGTGAGGGATACATGCCCTCACTAATCGAATGTCGAAGATAAATAGAGAGAAATCGAGAGACAGAAAGTAGACGAAAATAATACTATAGCGCTTGTATACATTTATGTCATATTCAACGATTTCACATCGCTTCACAGAGTTCAAACAAATGAACATACGAGTAGCAATAGTTAATGAGAATCAATGAACATGAGCGCTTTGAGAGCCTTCTTAAAGACATCTAATGAAGGAGACAAGCGGACAAAAAAGGAACGTGACAAAGAATTTCGACCCCTATCACGTTCTCTCTCAAAATTTATAAAATCAACGGGGAATATCATGGGTGGAGAAACCCTTTTTCTTAAAAGTTTAACGATTTGCGATAGGGAGAATAAATACGCGAAAATAAAGGGGATACAAATAATCAGATGCCGCATAGTATGGTTATGTTTTATGGTAGTGAGTTGTAAAAGAAATGTGAGATATGTTTTGTATATTAACGCTTTAATTTTAGGCGACGTGACCTCAGATGGCGTAACGCATTCGCTACCCGCGAGAAAACTGTCATTGACAACACACACATAGCTCTTATACGGCTTTTGTATGGATAGCCGAAGATAGATTGATTTGGTTTAATATTTGAGCTGGTGTCGAACAAATAATCCAGTACGTCAGGAGCAGTAGAAATGTTACTTTGTCATGTGGGAAGCGACATGAGGGACAATAAACCTTAATTCCAGCTTTCTTGGCGTCCTCCAAGAGTGGTAGAATGGTGTCGGGACCCCGAGAACAGTTGAAGCCGACCACATCGGCTCCTGCTTTTTCCAGTTTTCGTAAGGCTTCCGTCGCCTCCACTTTATCGTTAGTACATAGCTTTCCATTCTCATCTCGTGCTATTTGAACTGTGAGGGTAACTACAGCTGGAAGTCCTGCCATCAAAAATGAGGGAGTTTGAAACAAAAATCTACTCAGTCAGTCAATGATAGTCCACGATGAGACCGATACATTATCTAATTTAACTTTCGACTAGTTGTGAGAAGATCCATACAAATCATAGCCCATAGTTAGTCTATAAGAATTTCCGTTTCGGTTTAATAAAATTTGGAGTGGACTATTAGGCTATTATTATTATTATTATTATTATTATTATTATTATTATATTTTCCTGAAACATCAGTAATGCTTAACCTTCGATTTTTGTTTAACCTTCTGAATCGCTGTCAAAAGCTGTAAGAAGGTAAATGAGTGAAAAGCTTTACGTCATTTTAATCTTCCGTCTCTTTTATCTTCGGTCTTTTGAAACTTTTGACTAGCTATCCGAAGCTGTAATAAGGTCCATGAGAGAGAAGCCATCCGTCATGTAAGTCTTCGGTCTGGGGGAGCAAGGATATATTGAACCGTCAGTCCTTCAAACCTTTCGACTCGTCAGAAGTTGGTTCACTAGGGTTCACAAGTCAGAACTTTCGGTCTCAGCATTATATATGAGCAAGTTCAAGCTTTTTCGTCTATGACTGTGTTACAAACGACATCCAATTGTATTATATCTGATTATTGTGTCAAACTGGTAGCCCTACTAAAACCTTGATAAAAAATATCAAGTCATTATATTTTTCATATTAATTCATGTTCATGATTCCATGAATTAATTTAATATTATCTTGTAACGTATGGTGCATACCGTAATATTGGATTATACATGTTCAGCCACCAATGAGGTTTTATCAAGTTACCTTTGCCATACATCTTGATAGCTTGGAGAGCCAGCATAGCTTCTCCTAGGTTTACTAATGTCTCCGCCACGATGAAGTCAGCTCCTTCCTCTGCCGCCCATTCTACTTGCTCCTGTCAAAACAGATAATTATAAAAACAACCAAAATCATTAACATGTTAAAGACGTTCTCTGGGCAGGTATATTTGTACGTTTGTTTATTTGTATGCTCATTTTTTTTTTCTTCTTCTATATTTTGAAATTTGGTATAATTTTTAGGGAAATGGTATCATCAAATCAACTATCAAATAGCAAAGCTTTGATAAAGGTATATCAAATACTCTTCATAAAAATACATTTAAGCAACACATCTATAGCGTGAATTATCGCACAGCACTAAAACAATGGTGATAAAATATCGAAGATCTTGTTACCTAAGCACCTTTTGGTTCATAGAACATGGTCTCATGATGCCTGATGGCTACAAAAATACTATTTACTCGTTTTGTTATATATAGATTTCAGAAAAGTATTATACACTTTTTTTTGGGGGGGGGCGGGGGTCGATTTTGATGGGGCATCCACCCAACCGCCCCTTCAGGTAATCCCCTGGTGGTCGGTCTCTTTTTGTCCTACCTTAAACATGTCTTTGATCAAGGCAGTCTTAGCATCGTCCCCTGGTGTGTATTGTCCGGTGTTGCAGATATCACCACACATCAATGTCCCTGTCTCATCAGCCACCTCTCTCGCCATCTTTAGCGCTAGACGATTGGCCTTCTCTAAGTCGTCCGCGCGAGAAACTAGAGACATTTTGGAACGGTGCGCGTAGTACTTTAATGATGAAAACATAAATACGAGTCAAAAGTATATCTCTCTTTGCTTGCAAACATTAAACAGTCAATCGTCGCCCCTTTCTTACTGTCAAGCTGATCGAATTTATAATGTCTCAAATCATGTTCCGAAGGCACACGTGAAGTTTAGATTCAGAAGCTAGATTTGTGTATGATGTTAATAATGTCCAAGTTATTAATGATGAGCTGAATAAAGAGACTCAAATTAGCAAATTAAGAATTTGAAGAATAATAAAAACCCTGGTAAAGATTTTATTTTTAATGAGCTATTGAAATCTAGCTCAGCCATTTTGATTAGGTTAATTGTTGTCTATTTAATATCATTCTTCAAATCAGTTTATTTCAACAGCTTTAAAACACCTTACATCAGGCCCCACGGAACTTTTTTAAAAGTTGGGGGGGGGGGTCGACTAAAGTATTTACGATCAGGTAGAGCGGAGCGTAAATTGACATGGGGTCAAGGGGGCACCTATCGAACTGATAAGAGCACGTGTCAAAGTACAAAGGGTAATTATCAGAGGTGAAAATGGAGCACTTCTTATATCTAAAAAAAAAAGAAAAAAAAGCACTCACCAGGGATGAAAAAAGGCACTAAGGTGAATGGTAAATGGGCAATTGTCGACGGAAATGGAGCACCCATCAGATTTTGATAGGGGGATTTATAAGCAGTGAAAAGAGGCATTTATGTCCAGACACATGTATGAAAAGGGGTACTTATGAGAATGAAAAGGGACACTAAAAAGGGGTATTTATGAGAAGGGGAAGGATCTCTTTTTTAATTGGCACTTATTATAAGGAAAAGGGGCACATGTGAAAAATAAAGGGAGCGCTTATCGGAGTTAAAAAAGGGGTATTTCAAAAGGGGAAGGGGCACTTCTTATAAGGGAAAAGGGGCACTTGTTGAAGTAAAAGATGCACCTCTCAAATTTGAATATGTTAATTATCAGAGGTCAAGGGGGCACTTATCAAAAGTGAAAAGGGGCACGTCTCGTACCTGAATGGGGCACTTACTAGAGATTAAGAAGGGCACTTATGAGAATGGAAAATGGACACTTATTGCAACTAGGAAAATGGGATCTTGTCGAAGGAAAAGGGGCACGTGTCAAAATAAAAGGGGCACTCAGAAAGAATCGGTGAATATTATTTGTTTTTAATTCAGGTTGTGATAGAGTTTCATTACTTGCGCCAGTGTCTGCTTTTTGACGATTTTCGTAAACGTGCAATTAAACATTATTTGGAAATACCAAAATGTATTCAAACTGGATTCTCTTTTAAACAACACTACTTTAGAGGAAGTTTAAATAGCATAGATTAGTCTTGCCATGGTGCATTTTACAGGAACAGACATCGACAAATTCACAAGTATTCATCTTTGTATATGTTACATCAACTTATTGTATATGTTACTCCATATGCAACTTACTAATACATATATGTATTTTATGTAAATGAATCACAAATTCAATGCAGGCGGGCCTGTAACCTATACATGTTTATTAATATTTTACCTATAAAGTTACATGACATATTCTTATTTACACATTTTTGTGTTTTTGTTATACCTTTATTGTCAAGTAGATCTTGTCATTGTTATTTTGTACATTTGTTGATGATATTTTGTATCGTTTTTATTAAGTACTCATATACCCCAATGTAACCCCGATTTCGATGTTTGAGTTAAATATTTTTTCATTATCAGAATCAGATCTAACACCCAATAGTCATTCTTATTGATGTTCAATATCATATCTTGCCGTACTTGTCCGATTTTCGATGTCATTATATACAGCATTGCATCTTCTGTAGGATTTTATAATAAAGTGTAATATTTGCACGTCATTCAGATTGTTTGCCAAAGCAGGGTTCAAGCTATAACTTCTTATATAGCTAATACAATTATCATTTTGGGACCTGAAATTACTGACGGGGGTACAATATCGATGCACTTATGACCGTTATCTCTTGACACTTGCTAAAGACAACATAACCCATAACCAGTATCTCCTTGTTCTGTACCCATTGTGTACAACCCATGACAGCATTACCCATTCGGAATGGTGACTCATCTAGGATGGGTCAACTGGTTTTGCGTATTTCCGATAGCGGACAACTCACATTTGTCCGGGATGGATGATATTGTCCGGTCTAGTGAAATTGGTGGAAGTTATCCCAAGTTGATGCTGGCACATTGTTGATAATTTTCAGTGGTAATTGTCCATGGTAAGGATTCTATAGTATAGTCATTGTAAAGCCTGAAAATGGTTCCAAGGGAACATCCTAGATTGTTTGAGGTATATAACTGTCCGAGGTTGAAAAAGTCTGGGATAGTTGTTTGGTAGCGATAGTCGACTGGTAATTCGTAGAATACTAAAATGTTTCGGCTTCTACTTCTTCTTTTCTTTCTTTACTTCAATATTTGTTATCCTTGTATGTTATCAAATTTGGTACTATTTTCTGTTTCACCTTTTACTGTATATTAATCAGACTTTTGCATGAGCCTACACTGTAAAAAAATAATAGTCGAAATAACTCAATAAAATTGAGGAAAAGAATTGCCTTATTTTTATTAAGTAAATATTACCTACGGCATCTTAAGTAGAATTTACTTATTTTGCTGAATGAATATTTACTCAGTTATTAAAATCGAGTTACATTAACGTAAATAATTTAAGTATTGTAATCATTTTAGATAATTTAAAAAAAAGCTATGATAGGTTTACATATTGCACGATTTGGTACCCATCTAATCTAACAAGTAACATCCACTAATCATTCACTACTTCTATTTAAGATTAATCACTAATCACTAACACATACGCTTCAATTCGACACATATTGAAAGGCTCCAAATTTTATATATACTTGATCGTAGCATCTTAAAAGGAAAATTGGTTGACAATTTCCTGAAATATCAAGTTTTGATTTGTTTTGAACTGGGTAAGAATTAAAAATTGTCTTGTCTTTGCTTAGCCATGTTAAATGAATTAGTAAATGTTTTAAAGTCCTTAAATTTTCATTCAACCACAAAAAAGAATTGTTTTATTTAAAAAAGAGTTTAATTTGGTCTTAATGAATATTCATAAATTATGTAAATATTTCTATTACGCACTGCATCGGTCCTTACTTTAAAAAGATAAGAATAATCAACATAAATTGTTTGAGTAATACGTATAATTTCTGATTTTGAGTTAAAATTACTAAATTAATACAAGCTGAAATTACTTAAAGTTCTTATGTATTTGATTTTACTTAAATATTCCACGTATGTTCTACTAAATTGAAAGTTTGATTTAGCAAGACTTAAATTTAATGTGTAAGTGGCAAAACTAATGTTTTCAAGTAAATTCTACATGGAAAAAATACGTAAAAATTACCAATGATAATTTTTTTTTACAGTGTAATCAGATACAATCTTTGCTTTATATTAAGGCTCCTAACATTCTACTCTTCCTCGAAATGCTTTACTTATTTTCCGTTCAATATAACTCATTTTTAGTTAACCCACATTTTGGTGAATCTTTAAAGAATTTCTAGTGAATCTACATGGTAAATGTGGAACAAATACAGCTTCGAGACTTCACACTTCTTACTGTCAGAGCTTGCACGACATCACTGCCAGCGCGCACGAAATCTCTGTACATCTGTCTGACGAGCTCAGGATGTTCTACTACGACTTCAGGGACAAACGGCCCTGCCTGGACGTAACATAACCGCTCGAAAGCAAATATGTACCCCTCTGCGACTATAATGGTCTCGCCCCCATTCAGGCGTTCCAACAGTCCTTCAAATGGAAAAATGGTAACAGAATTATACATTATAAAATTTATAAGGATTTATAAAAAAATTCTTCTTCATGAAAGTCGAAACTCTATACTGCCTCTGCAAACACATATCATATTTTTAGTGGCGAATCTAGGGATGACGGCGCTTGGTTAACAATAAAATTGCGCCCCTGCCCTTTTCACTGCTGCAAAAATCTATCAACCAAATACTTTATTACTATAGGAAAGATTCGCAAGAAACAATTCATCTACAGAATATTCGTTTCTCTCAAATTCGGAATATTGAAAAAGCTATGCTTTTCACCTACATTTGGGGCGCAAAATTGAGTGGAATCTCCCCGCGGGCTTTGAGATGACCTAAATAACCTTTTTAAGGTTGAAAATATAGACCGGTAGTGGTAAAATTGCGGTTCAAGGGTTTTGGGTGCAAAATATCCATTCAGTATTGTTTAAATATTGCCTTCAGAGGTTAAGATGGCAATACTTCAACCTAAATTCGCAAAAAAGCAGAAATATATGCCCAAATGTTTAACGTTGAAGTACATTCGCGATATCTATCCAGGACGGATAATATAATTTAACAAATATATCAATCAGTAGGCGGTTTCCCGGCAGATTTGTATCATCACGTATTAGTTAAAACATATGCTATCACATGATTGGTAATAAGAGCTTCCATTTCATTTTTTGAGAGGGGGGGGGGGGGCGTTTCCAAAACTAGTCAATACCTTTAAGAGAATACGTCAGGGCATTTTCTAGAGTACAGTTTATAGAGCATAGAAATGTTGTTATTCTTCCATACTCGGTCAATAAATGTCCATGATGAGACCGAGAAATTAATGTCATTTATATATTATTATATACACATAGGCCTGTATTAATGTGTGTTTCGAGGGACGGATAAGGCAAACAAATGTCCTACATATAAACAGGAGTACTATTTGCAATGTTTAATATACCGACAAATTTTCTCGGTATAATCACAGCTCTCGGGGAAATTGCCCCTGCATCAAGATTTTCTGTGAAAACAGGAAGAAATTGCTTCCATCGAACATCACAGCTTGAGTTTCGACACCGGCAATATGTATTTATTTTTTTAGATTTTTTGGATTGAGTACTCATTTTATTAAACGGTAACATGTGCATTGGTTTGTTTTATGACGGACGCAATATCTACAACATAATAACAAACAAATTCTTACCTTTAGTCTCCGGCATTTCAAACAAAAGTCAAATAATAATTTCACTGTCGCACTCTCAATAGTTTTTCAAAGAAGCTTGCTGAAAATCGAATTGAATTATCAATTGAAATGAGTGATGCACATTAAGCCGACTTATAGATAGCTATACATTATCTTCCCCAAAAGAGGCGATCCTCAATGATAAAGCGTTATTGTGGTCTGAGTTCGACACGATATACAAGCACTCCTTTTCTCATGTGGCTCGGCTGTACATCCACGCCCATTCATGCAGAGAGAGAGAGAGAGAGAGAGAGAGAGAGAGAGAGAATAAGAGAGAGGGGGGCGGGGGGGGGGTGAATGAGAATGAGTCCAAAGAATAAGCAAATATAATTGAGTATATATTTGTTTAGCCTGAAACAAATATATACTATTCCAAAAATGCTTACATACCAGTTCACACAAGCATTGAGACCCTAAAGTCTTCAAATGGGAGAGGACACATTTTGTGCATTTTAGTAGGCCCCTATAATAATCACCCTCCCCCAATTTTGAAAATAACACTTGCTCCCGTATTTTATATACAACTGATACGGTTGAATTAAGCTCACCAATGCAATCTACCTGCTCATGAAGTAATAATAATAATAATGGTGGCTTCTTAAATAGCGCTGCCCCGATTATTACCCTGGCTTTAGCAAGGCAGCCACTGCGACGCTCTAGCTTTTCAAGGAATTAATTCCTGCCTGGTACCCATTTACATCACCTGGGTTGAGTATGGCAAATGTAGATCAATGTCTTGCCAAAGGACATTAGTGCCGCGGCGGGACTCGAACCGCGGACCTTAATCGACAGTCCGTCGACGTATTCACTCGACCACGATACCATTTATGTATTAGTGCGTTCAAAATATATTCCTCCGTCAAATAGATGGTGCAGCACAATTTCATGATAATTGTTGCAGAGTAGCCTTATCGTACTGCAATATTGAGCTGAGGTTTTGTGAAAGTACGCCCTCTACAAAAGGAACCGACCCATATGCAACTGAAAGAAAGGCCAATCTATTCACTCTCAGACGCTTTGCAGTTGATGTTTGGTTATTTTATTTTGAAGGCAACAAAACAGCCCCTGTAGAAACACAAGTGTAAAAACAAATGTAAATTAAAAACATCATAATATTCAAATAACCAATTACATAATTATATACTTCATGATCTGTATCAGCAACAAAGAAGGTGTTCAGTAAATAAGTTCATAATAGACCATCTTCAAACATTGTATCAACTAAATAATCATCACTATTATTTTCATGACTTCAATGAACAGGTTAATTAAATAATATATCATGTCTAATTTAACGGCTAAAGGACAGTTAACTTGTCATTTCACAATATAATGCCTCACATCACTTAAGCAAAACCTAAATTACAGTTGAAGTGTAAAAAGTAACAACAGATTCATTCAATACATAATGCAAACAATATCTTTTTTAATACAAATTAAAAAAACAATAAGACTCACCGCCCACACTATAAAAAAAAAAGAAGCTTGACTTCAACGTACACCCTTGTACAATACAGTCTTTGTGGTCCTATGAGGGATAAACGTTTGGTAATTTTCTGTTTAAAAAATCTGGTCGGGTCTTATTTTCATCAGTTTACCAAACACGGGGCAAAATATATACATGTAATATGAGGTTGAGTTACTTGAGTATACAAAAGCTTAATGTATACTATTTTTTATTTCTTTCTTAGTTTTTCTTCTCTTTTCCGCTTGGTTGTCTTATTTAATACCCCACCTCTCCCTTGGGCCGGTTAAAAAATAACCCCACCTAATAAATAATGAAGGAATAGTAAAATGTCTTTGCGTGACAGTATTATGATAGTCGATGAAGAAAACCGTTCAATAAAGTCCCCCAAATCACCTGTTAAGCTTTCATTATATCCTTTCGCCAGGTAGATAACGATGCGACTACGATTAATATCCCATTAAAGACAGGTGGACACCGCAACAAGGTTACGACCAAAATCGATGTTGCGACACAAAGTTTAACTTTAATCTTATATTTTTCCTCAGGCTAATGTCCATCATCGTTTAAAGAATAAAAGATAATATCCATGTAATGAAATTACTGTGTTTTGATATAAAAGAATGTGCACCTGGTGTGTGTTAATTTGATTTTGCGGTCGAGTTTGATGGAGTTGCATGTTGATCGGGAAGAGAAGAATCGGTGGGTATATCTCGAATTATTAAATTGGTTTTCAAATCATGCGAGCTGCCACGTCAATTCTATAGTATGAAACAATGTGTATCAGAACATTTTCGATAAATTCAATTCTTTGCATGCTTAGGTAACGCAACCAGTTCAAAATTATTAAAAAAACTAATGCCTATTCTTTTTTACTTGAGCTAAAGCTGACGTTACTATCCTTTTCCCAAAATATTAACAAGGGAAAAATGTTTATTTATTTAAAATAATATCACGAATTCAAGTGAAGTGGTTTTGTATATTTGTACACAGATATGTCGTTTCAACACAGATCTACAAAACACAATGTATAGCTTTATTTATATTAATTTACATATTTATTCAAAGACTACATGACTACAAATAAAATGTCATGAAAGGCCAAGATGCAATAACAGTATTGTCAGAAAAGTGAAACTATGTACGAAGGTGTTGTGGTCGAGTGGATACGTCGCCGGACTGTTGATCACAAGGTTCGCGGTTCGAGTCCCGCCGCCGCACTAATGTCCTTTGGCAAGACATTGATCTACATTTGCCACACTCCACCCAGGTGAAGTAAATGGGTACCTGGTAGGAATTTATTCCTTGAAATGCTAGAGCGCCGTATGGCAGCCGTGCTAAAGCCAGGGTAATAATCGGGAGCGCCAGGATGGTCAAATCTGACTGACATGAGCGCTATACAAGAACCCACTATTATTATTATTATTATTATAATCGCCGAAAATACAAAATTAAAATGAAAGCAAAAGAGACGGGATGCGATATTATGGTGGATAAAATCAGGAAAAGTGATAATGAATAACAGAGGGAGAGGGAGGGAGAGAGAGAGAGTGAGAGAGTGAGGGAGAGAGAGAGAGAGAGAGAGAGAGAGAGAGAGAGAGAGAGAGAGAGAGAGGCAGGGGGTGTTAGATGGGGAGGGGTTTTAGATGGGACCTAGAGAATCCAACATCATGTCAATGAATTTGAGAAGGAATTGCAAAAGCAAATACAATGTGTTTTCTGCCTCCCCCTACTATAATTATATCGCATGATTTAAAGGGGAACTGCAGCACCCTCAGCCCTCCGCCCTTGCCCCGGTCTCGTTTACCTGTGATGACATAAGAATTACCGCTTTCAATCACTACCAACAACTCTTGGCGAGGAACAACGCAGGATGTGATACAAAAGTGAAATTCAACCCACCACCCCTGCCATACGTTCGCTACTAATGTTGCATCATACCCCCAATCCTCACATAACCCAAGGAAAGTATTAAGCCACACCCCGTATGTCTTAATATGCCAGTACCCCCTCCCCCCCCCCCCCCCCCCCCCCCCCCGAGGTATCAAGGATAGATCTGCTTTCAGTGTTCTAGTCTAGACCAGACGACCTTACTGATCATCATTCATAAAGAAAAGAGATATAGAAACAAAGCATAATGACGTTCGGCTTAATCAGTTCATAGGCTTCATCAGAAGTGATCTAACAATATATCACAGCAAATCTATCGCACAATAGGAATGAAGGAAGTCTTATGAACGGAAAAAGAAATAAAAGGATAAAGAGAGAAGGAGAGAGACAGACATAAAGAGGGAGAGAGATAGAAAGATATATTTATAGAGAGAGAGAGAGAGAGCGAGAAAGGGAGAGAAAGAGAGAGAAATAAAGAGAGAGAGAGAGAGAGACAGAGACAGAGAGAGAGAAAAGGGAAAGAAAGGAAACTCGAAAAGCCTCTGAGGAGTTTCGATTATTGATTAGTTTTAGGCTTTGTCCCGTGTAAAGTTATGCGCATGTGTCAGAGAGACAGAGAGAGAAAGAGAGAGAGAGAGAGAGAGAGAGAGAGAGAGAGAGAGAGAGAGAGAGAGAGAGGAGAGGTAAGAGGGAGAGAGAGAGAGAGAGAGAGAGAGAGAGCTAGAGAGGGGGGAGTGGAAGAGAGGAAAGGGAGAGGGGTGGGTGGGGGTCGTCTATACCGTGTGAAGGATATCGATTATTACTCAGTAATAGGTTTGGTCCTTTGTAAAGTAATGCGCATCGTGTCAGACCAAAGAGGTATCTCCTTGGTCAGAGAGAGCAAGAGCGAGAGGGACACAGAGAGAGAGAGAGAGAGAGAGAGAGCGCGCGAGAGAGAGAGAGAGAGAGACAGAGATAGAGAGACAGAGTGAGCGAGATGGAGGGGGATGGGGGGGGGGAGATGGGTGGGGGTCGTCTTATAAAACTTTGAAGGATTTCGATTATTGATCTATTTAGCATCATGTGAAGCAATGTATGTATGGCATGAGTTGAAGTGGTGATAGCGGTGAGAGGAAGACAGACATAACAACAGAACGTGAGACCAAAGGGTCAGTACGAGGTCAAATTTGACCTTGGCTGTTTAGGGGCGGGGCCATATTAACAAAAAGATGAAGACATACAGAAGTAGATGTGTTTGATCTTGCGTCAGTAAAAAAAGAGCAGTTTGTCCTGCTGCTATATTTCATTTATACTGCCCTTAGACAAGGAAAGATAACTAAAAGAATTTGTATATATGCCTAGAAGAATATTGCAGACAGAGTACATCGTATTCACTCATCTTGAAAGCTTGAACTTACTGTCCATAATTATTAATTCCTAATCAACAGTCTCCATGAAGAAAAAAAATTGTTTAATACCAAGACCTATATGGATTAGAGCCTTAAAAAGGCTAAAGAAATAGATTTGTTGTAAGACCAAATTCAAACCAACATCTTTCACCAACATTGACATTTCATTTACCAACAGTTAATAACCTCTCCCTTCCTCTCCCTCTCTTTCTATCTCTCTCTCTCTCTCTCTGTCTCTCTTTATCTCTCTGTCTCTTTTTCTCTCTCACTATCTCTCTTTCTCTCTCTCTCTCTCTCTCTCTCTCTTTTCTCCCAAACCTTCTCTGTTTCTCTTACTCCCCTCCCCCTCTCTGCCTCTCATTGTCTCTCTCCCTACTTCCGTCTCTATTACTATTTCTTCCGTTCTCTCTGGCACTCTTCTCAAGCCTTTTCTACGTCCATTTTAATAATTTCCATTTTAACATCTCTCTACGACTTGTCTTCTCTTTTTGTAAAAGTACACATGCTCCTCATATTTTAATTCTTTGTTTACATTTCTATAAAAATGAGATTAAATACATCATTCATCATATTTTGTATCAAAATACACTTCGAGATGATTGGAAATGAAAATATTCTTATTGATATCGATATAGAAGTATATACGAGAGTATAAAAGTAATGACAGCGCTATACACCCATGTCTCATTTGAATTCATATCTATATCTCCTTTTAATATATTATTTTCTACGTAATCTCAAGAAAGGAAGAGATATAACGAAATTATCAACATTTAAAACACGTTACATTCGAAGTTGTTGAAAGTTATTCTTTTATATTTCATTCTTCACACGTCCAAACATGCAAAGATGCTATAAATATGATACGATCACAAAATCATATTAAAGTGAATAAAAAGAATGAAAATAAAAATTACTAGCCATTTCATTTATATTTACCTTAATTTAGACATCATCCATATACCTAAATATATATATTTTTTAAATTTATGAATAAGAACAATTTCAAATTTTGGCAAAACGCATTTTGAACTTTATTGGATTCACATGTTTATTACTATAGTAATAAAATACTTTTTAAAATATCATATTTGATTAGGAAAGTTTTTAATAGAATAAAATAATAGAAATTTGATTCATTCTAAATCTTTCTTTATTTCATTCACTTACACTTACAAACAAATGAGCCCGCATGTAAAGATTCTGCCTTATAATAAGGAGTATCGACAAAACAGAAACTAAAATCTTGGCAAATCTATTTAACTTATAAGATAAGGCATCCATGGCGAATAAAAGATATAAAGATATGAATTTCATATCAATTCAAACTAATAAATTATATCTTATTGGGACGTCGTTGGGAAAGAGCTGAAACCCTTTATTGAACTTTCATAGGGTGAAATGAGTGGAATGTCTATAATTCTCAATTCTCTAACATGAAAATTAATATGCATTACCAGCATGCCTATATATAGAAAATATGAAAAATACAAAAATCGACAAACTCCTTTTTTTTGAGAAAGAGAATCGTTCCTTATTTTATAATCAATGAAAGGACATGTTATTACTTGTACGGAACACTAACAAAAAGGCATCTAAGAATTTTCGTCCTGCATTACCAGCATGCATATATTATAGAAGATATGAAAAAATACAAAAATCGACAAACTCCTTCTTTTTGAGAAAGAGAATTGTTTTTATGAAAACAAAAATCAAAGCAAGGAATGTTTCATCTTAATTTATTAAAGGAATACTTTTTTTACAGATGGGCTTTGTCACTTTGGTAATCGGCGAAGTTTTGTAAGGAGGAAGAATTTAGCAAACCAAAATTCATGCTCATTTTTCTAATCCTTGAAACGAAACGAAAAGACAACAACAACAAAACAAAACAAAACAGGAAGATAGGAAGTGGTGAAGTATATAGTAAAAGAAATATGTAAGTCAAGTTGACTTGGTGATCTGATTTCATGAGTCTGTAAGGGGTTCCTCAATGGAGTGATCTAGATTCACTAACCACTTAACCACATGCATGCCCTTGTTCTTCAACTCATCCTTCTCCCTGCTTCGGAGCAGACGTTCGGTTGGCGGACAAAATTTCCCGCCCAAAGCAAGCGCCTTGTCGGCTGCAACCGCAGGAATGTTCATGTTGTCTTCCGTTTCGCCGTTGTCTTCGGTCGGGCTATTCCCGAGTTGCGGTTTCTCAAGGCACTTCTCGATGGCTTCCTCCGTCAGATTGTACTGCAACAGAACCGGTACGTCGACGTTGAGGTTATCCGGAGCTGCGACTGCCTTGCTTTTTTTCTCTTCTTCGTCATAGATGAAGACAAAAGTCCGACTTTCACTCCGCTGAAGCATTTTTGGCCTGGAAAGTCGTTCCTCTGGTGCACGCAGGTTTTCTTCCACCAATTTGGAGTTATTCTTGTGATCCCGGTTCCCAGATGTCCAATTATTGTTTATTACTTTTTGTTTGCTCATCTTCGATTCTAGTTGTGTTGCCGCATCTGGATCCGAACTTGCATCCAATTTCGGATACTGAGTTGTAAAGGGTGGTGGGTTGCCGGATGAGTAGCCTTCGTCAATGGTGTCGTCAATGCATAGTTTATCGAAACCAAGTCCTTTCTTTCTGGAAGGTTTTCCGTGTCTCGCAACTGACTCTGTCGTGTGTTGACGTTGCATCATGAAAACTAAACTTTGATTATGCCATCCAAAGAGATCCTGTCTCTAGCAATATGCCAATCAAAATATGGGCAAGGGTTTTCTTGAGAGTGCTTTGGATGAAACTCCATTAAATCATTCCGTTGTGGTAGACTTTGATTTTACTAGCCATTAGCAATGTTTTGTCTGATACTCCGTCGGGCAACCCATGTTAATATTCCCTGTGAGGGATGGACTAAAGATACTTCAAGGTTGAGAGCTGTTCAATCCAGAAGCTGGGACAACCTACACGGAAAAAATACAAAATAAAACTGTTGTAACTAGTCTTGCTGCTGCTGAAACATGTAATTTATTGAAATAAAGTGTAAATCACAATTACATACATAATACATACATCATCAAAGCTAAGATAAATCATAAAGAAAGCTGATGCTCCTATTTCATCTACATTGTTATCATAACAATTGTGTTGATGTTGGTTTGAGTATAAGGTTGCTATTCATTCAAGAGCCCTAAATTGCTCAGGTGACGCAGTCGCCACCAATTGTCTAGACTACTGCCTTTGCTCCCCCACCCCACCCCCTCACTTTGAATATCCGTTCCGCAAGTAATTTTTGTGCCAAAAGAGTTTGTGTTTTATATCACCGGCGTATCCAACATGGAATTGAATCGGTGTACGCCCCCAAAACATAAACATTAAACAAAAGATACCACTTGAATTATGTATTTGCCGAAAAATATTGCCAGCAAATATCATAAGATATATGAGATTGTTAGGATAGAAATAAAATTGAATAAGGTCCCATGAGCGTTTTAAGGGTTAAAAGGCATAATGAAATATATCAAGACGCATTCACACGAAAAAGTTACAGATCTACAGCTCCAGAATTGGTTCTAACTTTATTGCAGACTGGTCATTATATATACAGCATCTCTCTTTTGCTGATTATATTTATAATGGAAACTTTTGCGTATGTACTGACACAGACATCTATATAATATATATAATTTATTATAGTGCTACTATCGTAAAAACAAAACTAAAGGATGTGTGCTAACTAATGTTCGTATTGGTGACATTGAATTTTTACGATGATTTTCAAGGAAGGATCCGAGTAAAAACAACAAAGAAATGATATTAACACGAAATTCGAAAGGTGTATTGCAAAATATGATATAGTTTACTTACATGAAGTTGTAGCTGATATCAATCGGAAAGACAAATATATATTCCATCGAAGTCGTTGATCTATATACCGTAAAACCATTACTGATCCTGTGGAACATCCAGGCCTGGGAACATCATACTCTATGTCTATCCACACGAGAACCGGCTAAAATATTCATGCTCCGTCGCCGACGATTCGGCTGGCCGCAATGAAATAATGAAGAGGTACTACAGATGAGGTAACAGGCGATGAAGGAACCTCTTCTATCTGCCACTCGTTTCATAATAATACCTCCTCGAAGCGCTGAAGGTACTTCTATTATCAATAAGATTACCGGAAGAATAGATCATTATTTGTTCTATCCCCCCTTTCTCCCATTGCAATCTGGCCTTCTATATGAAGCTGAGAGGTGCGGGCCGGCTGCATGAGAGCTTGCGCGACAGAGAAATAATATGGATTTAGATCGAAAGTGAGGTCCATACGGATCGATTTTATGACTAGTGGCATGAAGAGGGGGAATATAAAGGGAGAAAATGAAGAGAGGTGTCGATAAAACCAATTGATCGTACCCTGACCTATTTAATAAAAACAGTGTGATCAAAGGATTATATTAATAGGTCAAAAGGATAATATAGGTTTCTAGCGTAGAGAGAGAGAGGGAGAGAGAGAGAGAGAGAGAGAGAGGGAGTGACGTCAACATAAATAAAATTCGATCTACATCTGCTTTTGATTTAGTATTGATTTAGTATTTTCCATATACGGTAGGCTAGATGACACCCTCCCGCGCCCCTCACCACGTCCCCCCCCCCCCCCATCCCCGACAGATGATGAGATACAGAAAAGAAGTAGTCGACGGCGAGAGATTAGATAGATAGATGATTATAGAAAAAGTATAGATATAGATAGAGAAAAAGAGAGAGAGACAGAGAGAGAGAGAGAGAGAGGGGGGGGAGAGATCGAGAGTGAGAGAGGGGAGGGGGAGAGGGAGAGGGAGTGAGGGAGGGATGGGGGAGAGCTGGACAAACACGTTCATGTTTATTTCAATATTACTCTGCCGGCATAAACATCAAATAATAGTAATAAGCGTCATAATAGAGGCCGAAGTTGCTAAACAGACGGCTTTCCGTAAATGTAATGATATTCTACGCCGCAACTCGATCCGTGTTACCAGGGAGGTGAGACTCTCCTGGCACACATAATGGTTTTACGTCACAATAATATGAGGACCCTTGTTAGATTGATGACCGGTGACGCACGGACACATTTCAATAACAAATGGTTTGGGGTTAAAATGCGTGTCTGGAAAAGGATCAAAACAAACATAGAAATCAAATTAAATTGTATTTCACAGGTCGTTGCCATGGGTGGTTTTGTTGTGACAAAGTTACTTCCCGGGCGAGATTGAGGCCAGTTATACCTAATGACCATTCAACATAAAAGGAAGACAGTAAAGGGGCAGCTTATTCATTGTGACTGAATAACGTTTCTTCTTTTGAGGAAGCAATACAAGTCCCAAGATGCAACATGTTGGCTCAAAAGGACTTCTCGAGGCGAAATAGACAACAAGAGGCTAAGAGTTGGTGAAGAAAAAGAATAGCGAAATTGGAAACAGCTTCGGAGAATCCAACAGGCGTAATATACAGTTCACAATTGAGTAGCAACGTCTGTAAACAAAACGAATTTTTCTCCCTTTTCCCCATATTTGGCTTGTTCGCAAATATATATGAAGCGATTGGACATAATGCATTTACGCATGATATGCATGCAACAGACGTCCATGCTTGGGTTAACACTTAACAAAATAATATTATCATCATCCCAATTTACAATCGTAATCGTGATAATGTATGACCCTAACTGTACCCAAATTTAACATATTTCTTACTACATGGTCCAGACCTACGTGGATGGCTAGGAATTGGATTTGTTTAAACTTTGAAAATGCATTTTATTTCATAATAGTTCACTGTATGACGGAGTCTCTCTTGACCCCTCAAGACCCATTCTGTAATTCCTTTTCGTTGACATTTTGTTTTAATGCCCCCCCCCCTCCAGTATAATGCAACGGGATAGTAAATCAGTGTCTACTATATTGAGGGGCATGAAGGGCACTTAATTGTGTTATATGGACCCCCTTTCTTACGAACCATTTCTGCAAGATATATCGGGGGGGGGGGGTACAGGCTTGATATTAAATTTATAGAGGTAAATATGTATATTTAACTGTATGAGTTATACGAAGAGATAACAATATTCTAAATCGCAGAATTGTGGAGTCATCTATTTACTCATGATTCATCAATGTCAGACATGCTTTTCCGTTTTTTTCTCTCTCCCATCATATCAAATCTCAATGAACCTTTGATCGAACTGTATTTGTTCATTAGCTCTTCTTCACGGAACGTCCACGACCTAGATTTATAATGAGTCCCAAGCTGGTATGAATTTCACTGTTATTGAATTTGAGGCCCATTGTTCGGTGTTTTTATTATCAAACATTATTTGGGTCAAGTATTGCACGAGCTCCCCACGTGTTGCCCAGGCCCACCGGGGATCATGTAAAGCTTCCCCCGTCGCCATGGCACCCAACCAAGTTCAAAAGTGCATGAAAATAAGCTGTGTTGTCTGATACAGCGTGGTCCAAAAATGAAATCATGTTCTTGAAAGCGGTATGCTATTTCATTCAACCTCATTCATGTCAAAGTTGTTTTCGGATCCTTATGCATGATTGTACGTTTTTGTTATGTCGGTTTTCGTTTGTGGGTGTGGGTGTGCGGGCCTGTGTGTGTGTGAGGGGGTCATACACAGCAGACACTATAGTGATTTGACTAAAACATTGGAATGACCCCCAAACAATAAAACAAATATTTAAAAAATAGAATAAAAAATAAGACTAGACTAAAAGGGGGGCCAGTAGAAATAAAAAAAAATATATAAATCAGGGCAGGGTCCTGTCTCATAAAGAGTTGCGATTGATCCCAATCGATCGCAATTACGTCTGCAATCATTTTTAAGTCACAATCTCCCATCTTATAAGTGCACAGTTGCGATTGATACCGGGGATTGATATCAATCAATTTAAATCAATTGCAACTCTCTATATAGGACGGGGCCTTGGATTCCGAAACTTCGCTGCTATTCTGAAATACATGTACAATCTTGCCCCTTTTACTATGTTTACATGCAGGTGAATAGAGGTTTGCATTTTGATGTTCTTGTCAGAATAAGAGTCTAATAAATGCATCATGATTTTATCATTTTGTTCTCTTTCTTTTTAGACACATTGTATTATTAGGGTACCTTTGTTACGTTGTAGAAACCAAGCTGCATGACTGCATGTCTGTGAAAAACTAGATATTGTACTACAACATTTCATGTCTTTTCATTGGCATTCATTTCGCACTTGCATATTGATACTGGAATACTCCTGGTCTAGAAGAATAGAAATATAACGCATCCCTCATGATATTAATGCCTTTGACATTTTATCTAAGTTAAAGAATGCTCCAAATTGACGGGCATCTTCGATAGCAAGGATTGAAATTATTTAGCTATATGTACATTAAGATATATAAAATTGTAATCACCTTTTAACTTAAATATACAGGTATATGAAACCAGTCTCCACATGAGATTCATTCAGTCAACACTCTCATCATCATTTTTTTCTTCAATTCAAGTTCACAAATTCATCACAAATATTATGTGCATCGTACCATACTTTCAATAACATTAGATATCCAACAGCATTGTCAAAAACAAGCAAAGAAACAAACAAAGTTACAAACACACAAGCATGTACTTAGAGTTGTAACAGCAAACCAAGTATGAATTACATGACAAAGGGAAAGAGTGATTCTAAATATCATATGTATGTTAATTTTTATTATCAATGTCATTAAGAGTCTATATATAATCATTTCGTCATAGAATAGTCGTTGTAAGAAATGTGTAAAGTACTATCTCTACCACTATCATACCATTTTACATAGTTGTAGATAATAATATGAAGATACATGTTATACTTTAACATTAAAGAGAAATTCATTTACAACAAATATATAGAAATCAGAGAAAGAATTTGAATAGAAGAAAAGCAAGAAAAATATATTGCACAAGAATGAAATACTATTCCCCAAAAATATATTACAAGTAGATGAATAAAGATGGAATTGTACAATAGTATTGATAGTTTAGTACACTGGAGTATAGAATACAAATAGTTTTTGTAAGCTTGCTTTTAGTACAGAAAGAACACAATCAACATACAGAAAATCTATTTATGAGAAATAAATACCACATGTTTATGCAAGGAATGAATAAGAAACTGTAAAAGATTAACATTCATTACACTTTTTAAGTGAATAAACGTGACTGCATCATTATAGTAACTAAAATACTATGAATAATAACTTTAAAATGATAATAACAAATAAAGGTTTTAAGCAATAATGTTTTCAATTTGTTACTTTGATTTTCATCTCTTACCATACAACTATTATTCTTGAAAGAAAGATTGTTCCCAAATCCGAATTTCTATTTTTAACATCTTAGTTTCTTTGAAGACAAAAAAATGAAAAATACTAAAAATAGAAATCCCAAAGGTAAAAATTTGAAATGAAAGCTTGAAGAATACTTTAAAGTCATCATTAATTACTACATTATTCACAAATAATAGCTTTGTTTTATTTTCTTAGTTGAAAAAACAACTCCTTCATTACAGATACAAATTAGATGTTTGGCATTAAAGAATAACTCATTTAGTAAATATATAGTATTTACTTATAAAAACCAGGCTGAAATACTGCAAACCGATTTTGTATTGCACAAATCTAATCAAGCATTATGTCAGAAAGACGGAAAACTGAAATTGCAGAAAGGGAAGGAATTATTTAAAGGTTTTATCTTCTGTACAGCAGATTCAACTATTAGTAGATACAAGTCTTCTACTTTGTTACCTGTGTAATTTGTGTGAATGAGCTCTCATCTCTCTATACATTACTGATCTGACATATATTGAATACAGTTTTCAAATGTATCAGCTATTTAGAGCAAGTCCAGTGTGTTTGATCACTTGTCTTGCCATACATTATGACAGATATTAGAAACAGAAAAGTATACTTGTACTTGATATTTTAGTCTGATCCACAACAAAGTAGGGCTTATGTCTGAATACAATCATCAGATATACTCAAATCATTGATTTGACTGGTAATGTATAACAGACACAATAGCTAGAACTTGCCCTTTGACATTTGACATGGACAACCAGTTCT